CCTCTTTTTGTCACATTTGTTCCAGCTGGAGAATCACTCTGATTGGACTGCTGAACTGAAAACATATATTATTGTTTCTTGAGGTGGTGGTTTTCTGTTTTTCCCCAGTAGATTCCAGTCTCCTTCCTTCCCCGTCCTGCCCTGTTTGTGGGCTGATGACTACAAAGTTTACTCAGATTACTTGGCTATGACTTAGAATGAGAGACACTGTTAGGAGATGCAAGAGCAAGAGGAAAGGAAAGTCGCAGTGTGTATTTCCCTTTCTCCTTCCTTGCCTTGCCTTGCTTTTCACAACAGCATTCATCTATGGCCACAACTCCTGTTGGATAGTTCCTTTTTCAAAATTTAGTCTAAATCAGATTCTGGCAATGATTAATAGTTCCTCTTGCCCCTTCAGGCTAAGAGTGATCATGGATTTCTACTGTTGCTTGTCCTCAGATTCTTTTCATTCCTTGTTGGTTTAACTTTTGTCACATCTCCATAAGTAGCCAATTTTAAAAACTCTATTTACTTAAACTCTTTCAGTGTACTATCTGCATGCTGCTAGGACGCTAACTGATAAATTTCCAAAGCCTATGTTGTCCTCAGAAGCACATTGAAGACCAGTGAGTATCATCTCTCGTGTACACGTTTGCAGAAATCTCACCTTTCTTCAGCCCTTGAATTTTCCAGGCATTGAGTTTATTCTCTTTTTAAGTGGCAACAGAAAGCTTTTTTGAGCTTTCTTTTCTTTTTGGCAGTGGAGCCTGGTTCACATTTTCTTCTTTTGCCCTTTTCATTTCATTAGTAGAGCCCAGCTCTCCATTACTTCTATCAAAGTTCCTAAACTTTCTCAGTTCAGTGTCCTCAGTGTCCTTGTAATGTTTCTGCAATGTGTCCCTAGACCTAAAGAAATACGCAACAGTTGCATGTATTAAGAAGTGCTTACTAGTTAGTATTTAAGTCTTAAAACAGGTGTTTTTGAAAAATACAAATACTGAGAGAAAACATAATATTTTTATTCCATTAGTGCATACTTTAACTAATGGGACATGTCTGCCTGTTCTCACTATGTAACTTCCCAAACCTTGGGATCATAAGGATAACTGCAACCTCATCTCTTCTTCCACAATGATTCCTCATAGGAAGTTGCTTTTTATTATTGTTGAAAACCCACCTTAGCAAAGATATGACATCACCGGAAGAAATTTGGAGTATTCTAATGTTGAAACTATGAACTACCTTGTGCTAGTAGTTCTCACAGTGTCCCATAGATGTTGCTGTGTTTCCTATGAAAAGTGAAAATACTCTCTGGCACCCCAGGGCTCCTCAGCGAACAATTTGGGAACCTCAGCATTCTTTGTGCTAATTCTTTTGTGATACATGTGTACTGTTCTTTTTTCATTGCACAACATGTTTTAATTTGTTGCTTTCCACCACACATAAGGCTGATGCCGTGTCTCTTACCTTTTTTGTTTACTTTCAGATCTTAGACTTCAGATAAGACACGCAGATTCCTTAGGTCTACACCAAGCAGTTTTCTTTTTGATCCTAGATTCAATTCATAATAAGACAAAATGAAACACAAGTTGGGACAGTACCTATCTCAACTCATACTGCTCAGCTTTTTTTGGTGGTAGTTTTACTCCATCCAGAATATTGTTGCTCCTAGACTTTGAAATTATCTAACAGCACACCCTTGCCTTATAGAACTGACCTGCTTCATCTAGAAAATTGCCAGCATACCAGCAATCACACTTGCATTTTAAATTCTAAACGTTGGGCCAGGCACAGTGGCTCACGCCTGTAATCCCAGCACTTTGGGAGGCCAAGGCGGGTGGATCACCTGAGGTCAGGAGTTTGAGACCAGCCTAGCCTACATGGCGAAACCCAATCTCTACTAAAAATACAAAAATTAGCGGTGTGTGGTGGCGGGTGCCTGTAATCTCAGCTACTTGGGAGGCTGAGGCAGGAAAATCACTTGAAGCTGGGAGGCGGAGGTTGCAGTGAGCTGAGATTGCATCATTACACTCCAGCCTGGGCAGCGAGTGAAACAAAAAACAAAAAATAATAAAAAATAAATTATAAACATTAGTGACATCTTATGTAGAAGCTTTAGTCTATATGGTACCTTGTTTTTCAGATACCATGTGACTGGTTTACTTATTCAAACCATGCTGGATATTAGGATTTAAAGTGGGATTGGACACAAATGATGGAGTACTGACATAAAATATCTCTAGATCACAGCCACTCTCCCACTTATGTTTTGAAGAAAGTAACGCTCACTGGGAACAGTGCAAAGTAACAAAAAGTGAAGAGCTTTGTATGTAAAATGTTAGAAACAGATAATCGGTGCCGTGAAGAAAACTCAGCATGGAGACAAAGGATCTCTCAGCAAGGCGATCTTTACTTTCTGCAGAAAGGGTGCCCCTCGCAGATGGGACAATGGCAAGAGCACACCCGAACAAAGGAAAAGCAGACATATATATATATATATATCCCTTATGCATTTGAGTCGTCCTCACTGCTGTGTCCTGCATCCGTTGGCTGGAGCTGGACCTCACAGTCTGAAACTGATTACCAATTTGCTAATAACCTAAAACTTTCCTAAATAGGTAAGTGCAAAGGAGAACAAAGAGGAAGAGGAAGTTGCTTATGAAAGGTTTAAGGAAGCAACAACATTTCCAAATAAGGAAGGGGCATAAGCTATGAACTAAGACTTGCCTGGGCCTGTCCAGACATGCCTGAGTAAGCCAAAGCAACTAACTGGGCTAAAGTGTGATAACTAATAGTTGATAGGAGGCTTTAGAGTAAGGAGCGATTATTCCTAGTGTCTTTTATTTTTAACCCAAGATGAGCTTTGAAGAGGAACTTTTCTTTCTACATAAAACTTCAATGTATAATTCTAGGAAAGCTAGCTTAAGGTCTATGAGGTGACTTATCCTAAATCTCAGATCATTTTGATTTTTATTTTTCTGAGACAGGGTCTTGCTGTGCTGCCCAGGCTGGAGTGTAGTGGCATGATCTTGACTTACTGCAACCTCTGCCTCCCGGGTTTAAGTGATTCTCATGCCTTAGCCTCCCAAGAGGCTGGGACCACAGGCACATGGCACCACACCTGGCTAGCTTTTGTATTTTTAGTAGAAATGGGGTCTCACCATGTTGGCCAGGCTAGTCTCGAACTCCTGACCTCAAGTAATTCACCCACCTCAGCCTCCCAAAGTGCTGGGATTACAGGCATAAGCCACCTTGCCCAGCCTGAAATGTACTTTAGTTTGAATCATGGAATGAAGATACAGAGGAAAGAGAAATTAGTCAATATGTTAATTTTACCAGAGCTTCTGTAATAAATAGCAAATGAGGTGATTGGATCTTCTCTTATTCACAGTAAGACAAAATCTTACCATTTCAGATAGTGTAAAAGTGTAATAAGAACTTCTAACAAGTACTAATTCTGTCTGTAGCGTATGTGCATCTTGCATCTTCCCGATTCATAACAAGTCTTCCTTGCAACAGTGGAAGAAGGCAGGAGAAAGTAAACCTCTCTTCCTCCAATCTAAAAAAATGGAGTCTAAATTACCAATCCTGACATGATTCTTCCAGTTTATTTCCCAAAATAGCTGCTTCCAAAATACTTACACTTCTAACTTGAATAGAATATTACAGCCTTAGTACCCCATCCCTTCTGTATGCCATTTGCTAGTCTTAAAATAATTATATTCTCCTCATACTTCTTTCATGACAATTCTCTCCCATATTAATTATGAGTCAGAGAGAAGAAATGAAGTGGGAGTCCCTGAGATCACATTCTCACTGCCATAGATGTACTTTTCTAATTGTTTTCCTGTTTGGCTATAAAACCCTCTGGCCCATTGTGTTTTGATTCATTTCTTTTCATGTTGCATTTTTTATAGGTGTTTTTCATGTTCATTAGCATCAACTAGATTTATAATTTAAGGTCAATAGATTTTTTTTACTGTATATACCAAGACCTTACATAATAAGATGCATAAGTTTATAAATTGAAATTTGTTATATAAAGTAAGTACTGCTTTGTAGGCCTTAAAAGGAGAAACATTTATCTCTTTATGTGGATGGTGTACAGAAACCTAAAAAACAAAATAATAGAAAAGTCCAGTACTTTATGATTAAAATATATATACATTAAAACATATAGGTAGTGGTCAGTATATGGATTGACCCCAGTTTAGGAACTATGTTCTACAGGTGCATTTAAACACTGATTATTAAAACCTTAAATATATTTCCCCACATGAGCATTTTCAATGTCTACTGTGTATTCTCTCATATAGCTTTGGTATAATTAACTTGTCCCTGGTTTTTGAACATTCAAATTCTTGCTAATTTGCTTTTTAAATTATGTTTTATTGTTATAATAAGTGAATATCTTTCTGTATAAAGCTTGGTCTGAATTTCCCCTTTCTGCCCTACGTACGCAAAATGGGTCTTGCTACCCAGTGGTATTCTTTTGAAAATTAAATGACCTAATATTCTTAAAGTGCTTATTAGCACAATATGTGGCACATTGTGAGTACAGAATAAATGCTATTTGCAGAACTTTTTCTGACTCAGCAATGAGACAAAGAAAAAGGTTTCAAATGAGTTCTTTGAAGCAAGCAAGCATTGGGGTAGTAACATAGCACATGATGACAAACAGAGGAGGGAAATCCAAAAGATTGAAGCTGTAAGAGAAGGAGTTTTGGTGGTTATTCATCTGTACTGGTTGTTCCCAGTTGTATATTCTTTAAGTATACTTTAGGATACCTTAGCTGGAAAGTGTCACAGTGTAAGTTTTGTTCCTTTGAATTAAAATGTGTAAGTTTGATAAAGTAATATACAGTTGAGAAACATTACAAATCTTTTTAAAACAGTGTGACCTTTGTGTGTGTAATTTTTGTTCATTGTATTTGTATTTCATATTTTTGTGATATTTTATTCAAGTGTGTGTCCAATGATGTCTTTTCTGTTTTCTTTATTATTTTTTTTAATTATCCTAGTCACGTGAACTGGAAATTTCAGTTTATTGGCGTGATTGGCGGTCTCTGTGTGCTGTAAAATTTCTGAGGTTAGAAGATTTTTTAGACAACCAACGGCATGGCATGTGTCTCTATTTGGAACCACAGGGTACTTTATTTGCAGAGGTAATAAATGTATTTTATTAATGTGCATAACTCCAATTGAAATTACGTATGTAGGCAGCATAATATAGAAGTGGAAAGAGTGTTAGGCTGAGAGACAGATGACTTGAGTTTTGGCTGAGCTATGCCACTGAATAGGTATGTGACCTTGAGACAAACCAATTATTCTTTCTATGTCTGTTTTCTCAGCTAGAAAATGAGGGGCTGGACTAAACTATAACTAAGATTCTCTTAAGCTTTCAAATTTTATAAGTTTAGTGGATTTCATGAACCATAAATCCAATGCTATTTTCATGTCAACTTGAATTTTCTTCACTGCAGGTTACCTTTTTTAATCCAGTTATTGAAAGAAGACCAAAACTTCAAAGACAAAAGAAAATTTTTTCAAAGCAACAAGGTAATTACTAACAATCAAATACATAGCATTTGATATTTTCTTAAACATCTAATTACCATTTAAAAAGTAATAGCCATCTGTGGGTTTTTTTGTTGTTGTTTATTCATTTATTTCTAATTTCTTATTAAGGAATATTTTAAATGTATCCACAAGTGAAGAGACTAGTGAAATGTACAATCATCCAGCTTCAACAATAGTCAGCTCATTTTATTTTATCCATATGCCATCCTCTCACTACTTTCTCAAATTTGAAGCAAACCCAGACATCCTACTGATTTATTCATAAATATTATAGATTATATCTGTAAAAGATAAGATTTCTTTTTAAAACCTTAACCACATATTACTACTAGACTTAAAGAGAAAAAAAAATTTCTTACCCATTTATTTGTAAAACTACTTATGCTATTTTGCACCAGCCTTTACTAGCAAATAGTAAAAAACTAGTTTTTTTAAGTGACAAATTTTGTTTGTTCTTCATAGATTATAAACTAATGAGTAAGAATTTTTAAATTATGACTTTTGGTTATACATAAATTACTTGTTCTATTTTTGTTATTTTCAATATCTACAGGCAAAACATTTCTCAGAGCTCCTCAAATGAATATTAATATTGCCACTTGGGGAAGGCTAGTAAGAAGAGCTATTCCTACAGTAAATCATTCTGGCACCTTCAGCCCTCAAGCTCCTGTGCCTACTACAGTGCCAGTGGTTGATGTACGCATCCCTGAACTAGCACCTCCAGCTAGGTATGTGTCTGAGATTTTAAGCATCTTATGCAAAGTTATTGGGACATTCTTACGTACTGATTATAGCAGGTGTACTGAGTCTTGTTTTTTTCCCCAAGTAGTATTTTGAAAGTAGTGTTCTGTGTACTTAAAAAGTAAATTGTTTGCTTTAATTTTAAAGTGGTTTAAAATACAGACTTTCTATTACTGTTTTGGTGAGTTACTTTATCTTCTATAAGTGATTCTACAGTAACCAAATTGGACTTTGATCTTGAGCCTGAACCTCCTCCAGCCCCACCACGAGCTTCTTCCCTTGGAGAAATAGATGAATCTTCTGAATTAAGAGTTTTGGATACACCAGGACAGGCAAGCCATTTTAAACCTTGCATAATTCCTTTTCACCGAATGAATTAGCAGTGAAAGCATCATAGTGAATAAGGCGTGTATTTCCTTTTAAAATTGCCACTGTGAATTTATGGTTTTTTGTTTTTTGTTTTTGTTTTTTGAGACGGAGTTTCACTCTTGTTGCTCAGGCTGGAGTGCAATGGCATGATCTTGGCTTACTGCAGCCTCTGCCTCCCAGGTTCAAGTCATCCTCCTGCAAGCGATTCTCCTATCTCAGCCTCCCAAGTAACTAGGGTTACAGGCACATGCCACCATGACCAGCTAATTTTTGTATTTTTAGTAGAGATGGGGTTTCATCATATTGGTCAGTCTGGTCCTGACCTCGGGTGATCTGCCCGCCTCTGCCTTCCAAAGTGCTAGCATTACAGGCATGAGCCACTGCGCCCAGCCGAATTTGTGTTTCTTATGGTCTAGTCTCAGCTAAATTTGACTGAGTTGATAGGAGATAACCAACTTCTTAATGTTGGCATGAAATTGTCGTTAGCCTCTGGATGCTTATGGTCCAGAAGAGAGAGAATAAGCTGCTTAAGCTAGAGGTAACATAGGAGTGAGTTTGATACTACATGACATACTGCCTGAAATACTATTCTTCTTCTAGCTTGATTAACATACATAATAATGTGTTAGTTTTTTGTTGTTTTGGTTTTGTTTTGGTTTGGTTTTAAGATAGAGTTTTGCTCTTGTTGCCCAGGCTGGAGTGCAATGGCACGATCTTGGCTCACTGCAACCTCCACCTCCTGGGTTCAAGTGATTCCCCTGCCTCAGCCTCCCAAGTAGCTGGGATTACAGGCATGCACCACCACGCCAGCTAGTTTTGTATTTTTAATAGAGACAGGGTTTCTCCATGTTGGTGAGGCTGGTCACGAACTCCTGACCTCAGGTGAGCCGCCTGCCTTGGCCCCCAAAGTGCTGAGATTACAAGCATGAGCCACCGCGCCCAGCCCAGTTTTTCAAATTTTTTTTTTTTTTTTTTTTTTTTTTTTTTTTTTTTTTTTTTTTTTTTGAGACAGAGTCTTGCTCTGTCGCCCAGGCTGGGGTGCAGTGGCCGGATCTCCGCTCACTGCAAGCTCCGCCTCCCGGGTTTACACCGTTCTCCTGCCTCAGCCTCCCGAGTTGCTAAGACTACAGGCGCCTGCCACCTCGCCTGGCTAGTTTTTTGTATTTTTTAGTAGAGACGGGGTTTCACCGTGCACTGTGTTAGCCAGGATGGTCTCGATCTCCTGACCTCGTGATCCGCCCGTCTCAGCCTCCCAAAGTGCTGGGATTACAGGCTTGAGCCACTGCACCCGGCTCAAATTTTTTAGATAAGTTTTATATAAAAGTAATGGCTCCAGCTACTTGGGAGGCTGAGGTAGGAGGATTGCTTGAGGCCAGGAATTCAAGAGCTCTCTAGGCAAACATAGTGAGACCCACCTCTAAAAAAAGAAAAAAAAAATTTTAAAGAATGAGTATCTGAATTTTACTTTTCACTCCAACATTTATATTGACTTTTGAAATGTTTTTCCTTAGTTTTATCATTACCAAATAAGTTGTTTTCTGGGTGTTTCTATGGTTTAATGTGTATTTAATATTTTACAGGATTCAGAGACTGTTTTTGATATTGAGAATGACAGAAATAGTATACTTCCAAAATCTCAATCTGAATACAAGCCTGATACTCCTCAGTCAGGCCTAGAATATAGTGGTATTCAAGAACTTGAGGATAAAAGGTAAAGAATATATACCAAGTTTTGCTACTACATGTTTGGTACCATAATTTGTTGTCTTATTATTAATTGACATTTCTCTTTTCAGATCTCAGCAAAGGTTTCAGTTTAATCTACAAGATTTCAGGTGTTGTGCTGTCCTGGGAAGAGGACATTTTGGAAAGGTAATCTATTTGGATTTTTTTGGAATATCTACAACATTAATAACTCAAGTGGAAAATAATTATTTTAATTTTATTTCAGGTGCTTTTAGCTGAATATAAACACACAAATGAGATGTTTGCTATAAAAGCCTTAAAGAAAGGTGATATTGTGGCTCGAGATGAAGTAGACAGGTTAGTTTTTAAAAATGAAATTGTTTATTTTTCTGAATTTGTAAGTTAAGAGAAATGATGTATATATTACAACAGCAAAATTATCACGATTTTACAGTAATATGTGAAGAAATTAAATATAATGTATCTATATTTGACATAAGGTAGACATTAGTTTTTCTTTTTTGCCCCTTCCTTTTTACCCTTCCTGTGACAATTAACTGGTTAATGGATACCAGAAAAAGATAGTGAAATGTTTAAACTAATTCTGTTAAGGTTTTTATATATGAAAATGTTAAAGTGTTTATATGGAATAGAAACTGTTATTCATCTGTTGTTTGGTGGGGCTATATTTCATTCTATCTTAATGGAAATGATAAAAAGTCATTTACAAATAATCTACAGTTAATGGAATGTTTTAAAGTATTTTACAAAGCAGAATATGTTATCTTATTTTTTCCCTCTATTTTTCTTAAAAACATGTTTTTTGACCCTAACGTCTGGGTCTAATTAAGTTGTGGATACATCTTTTTGTACAATTTTTTATTTATTTATTTATTTATTTATTTATTTGAGACAGAGTCTCACTGTCTCCCAGACTGCAGTGCAGTGGTGCCATCTTGGCTCACTGCAACCTCCACCTCCCGGGTTCAGGCACTTCCCCTGTCTCAGTCTCCCAAGTAGCTGGGACTACAGGCGCATGCCACCACGCCTGGCTATTTTTTTGTATTTTTAGTAGAGATGGGGTTTCACCATGTTAGCCAGAATGGTCTCAATCTCCTGACCTCATGATCTGCCAGCCTCGGCCTCCCAAAGTGCTGGGATTACAGGTGTGAGCCACTGCGCCTGGCCTCATAATTATTAAAATGCAAGGATTTGGGGGGTTAAGATTGTAATTCACTCAGAGAATATACTTTAAGAAATGACTGTCTTAATACAGAATAATTAAATATGGACATTATTGTGTAAAAATGGCATATTTATCACAGAAAAAGGCTTTCATTGGACATTTTTCTTACACCACTAGGAAGCATATATTAATATTAATGGTAGACAGCCCTGCACAATGAAGAGAGCCCTGGGCTATGACTGAGAAGGCTGACGTTTCTAGTCCTCATTGCTCCTCCTTAGTAAGGATTTGACCCTAGGGCATTTCACTGAATATCTTTAAGCCCCAGTTAACTCATATATTTTAAAATATATTTGTTTTGGTAATACTTGCCTTACTGAGTTGTACTGATACATAGAGATGCCAAATTGCAACTTTTAATTTTTTTCTCCACCATATGGGTAGTTCTTAGAATAAGGAAAGGCCTCAAAAGATTGAGATTTGTTTTTTTATGTTAAATAAACTTTTTCTTTTGGATTTTCCTATTTGTTTTTCACCGTTGTTTCTTTTCACTGTTTCTCATACACCTCAATCACATCAAAATCAATGCTTTCTTGATATCTAATACTAAAGAGCTTGCTGGATATTTATAAAATATTCCGAGCACCATATTACATGTTTAGAATTATTTTTATGTTATACAAGCAGATAAAGCAAGTCTGTGATCCCACCAAAGCAAGTCTTTGATTCTAAGTCTGTTTATAATTGGACTAACAGAAGGGTCAAATGTTTTCCTTTCCTGAAGGAATATTTGCTTTTCTCCAGATTCTTAAATGGTAAATTCATTTATTTTCTAAAATAATAGGAAACTGTTTACTACTTCTCTTAATCTTGACTTATGAGGCTTTCTGCTACCTTGTTACAACTGTATGCTAAATCTTTGTAGGAGAAATACTTTCTAATTAAATCTACAGAAAATTCGGATCACAGGATGGTGCTGTAGCCAGAATCTAGGCCATTAGTAATCTCAACTGAAAATCCAGTCTTGTGTAGAGACAGGGTCTCACTGTGTCACCCACACTGGAGTGCAGTGGCATGATCCTAGTTCACTGCAGCCTTGAGTTCCTGGGCTCAAGCCATCCTCCTGCCTCAGCTTCCCATTGGGACCACAGGTGCATACAACTGATCCATCTGCATTTCTTTCCCCCATAGAGTCAGGGTCTCGCTATGTTGTCCAGGCTGGTCTCAAACTCCTGGCTTCAGGTGATCCTCCTTGGCCTCCCGAAGTGTGGGATTATAGGTGTGAACCACCACACCCATTCTTAACTTAAATCTCTACTTTTCAGTAACATGAAAATTTAAAAATCTCAAGTAGAACTGGTATAAAAAGAGAGAAAAGAAAAATCCAAGAGTGAGAAATGAAACACACTGTTAGAGAAATTTGAGGAATGAAGATATGAAAAAGGAGTACTTTTAAATTTCTAGCATATCTGAAAGAAGGCAAGAAAAAAAAATTAGTTTATAAGTTTTTTTTTTAAGAGTAGCTTTTTTATTTTATTTTATTTTATTTTATTTTATTTTATTTTTTTTTTTTTTTTTTTTTTTTGAGATGGAGATTTGCTCTTGTTGCCCAAGCTGAAGTGCAATGGCGCGATCTCGGCTCACTGCAACCTCTGCCTATCAGGTTCAAGCGATTCTTCTGCCTCAGCCTCCTCAGTAGCTGGGATTAACAGGCGTGCACCACCATGCCCTGCTAATTTTTTGTATTTTTAGTAGAAACGGGGTTTCACCATGTTAGCCAGGCTGGTCTCAAACTCCTGACCTCTGGTCATCTGCCCACCTCAGCCTCCCAAGGTGCTGGGATTACAGGCATGAGCCACCGCACCCGGCCAAGACTAGCATTTTTTAAAAGTAATATATTTCATTACTTACAAGTATAAATGGTAAATAACTTAAACTAAACTTATTATAACTGAGCAGAATTTTAAATATTTACTTTCCACTTCCTAGCTTATCTTTTTAAGCCATGGAATTTAGTGTCATTGTTTATTTTTTAATAGATGTTCCTAGAATACTTTATATGTATATTTTTTGAGACAGAGTCTCACTCTGTTGTCCAGGCTGGAGTGCAGTGGAGTGATCTCGGCTCACTACAACTTACACCTCCAGGTTCAGGCGATTCTCCTTGCTCAGACTCCCCAGTAGCCAGGATTACAGGTGTGCACCACCACGCCCAGTTCATTTTTGTATTTTCAGTGCAGACAGGGTTTCACCATGTTGACCAGGCTGGCCTCCAACTCCTGACCTCCGGTGATCCATCTCCCTCAGCCTCCCAAAGTGCTGGGATTACAGGCATGAGCCACTGTGCCTGGCCTACTTTATGATTCTTAATGACAGTTCTCATAGTCTAAATTTTCTTTCTATAGTCTGTATTATATTATTTTACTTTGAAATTATAAATCATAGAAAATTTCAAATCAGCCTCTTTTTAAGTGAACACAAATTATGGATTTTAAAATAAAGTGTTAGATAATTTATGAACAAAGATCATATTCTGTGTACCTACCATGAGTAAAACACTCTAAGTCCCGTCTGCCCTTCAATTGCTGAGTAAGGATATTACGTGTATGTTATTGGAATGCCTCCTCACTCAGCTTCCTTTTCTTACCAATTTATATTTCAACACAACAGAATAGGGTTGGAAGTATATTTTTGTGTTTGTAGAAGAAAGCACAGCTAACCAGCTTATGTAGGATTCAATTCTAAGACCTTGGTTTTATTAATGATGTTTTCCCCTGACTAAAATGACTATTTATATAAGTTTTCAGGTTTCTAACTTATCTAAATATGTGATGAACTTTGAAGGAAGTACACAAAACATGTTAGGAACTAGTAAGTTAGGGAAACAAGACATGAATACATTATGTAATAAAGGTGACTAGATAGAGTCCAGCTTAAAATAAGCAATACAAACAATAGCAGTTCTTAGGAGGAAATCAGTGTACTGGTGTACTACTACACCATAGTACATATAGTGTACTACTCCCTGGGCGTGCTACTCTTCTAGTCTTCCCTGTTTTATTAAACAGCAATACCAGTTGCTCAAGCCAGACACAGTCATTCTTGATGCTCTTTTCCCCTTACCTACAACACTCTATTAGCAAGTCCAGTCAACTTCACCTCTAGAATATATCCCAAATCATAGAAAGCATAAAACCAATAGTAAATCTCTGTTGTATTTACTCTTAAATTTTCATTCCACATCTATAATCTGATGAAACAGCAACTGACATTTGTGTTGCACTTTTCACTTTGACACCTTTATTTGATTCTTGTCATCACTATTAGAAATATTTAGAGCAAGATTTAGGTAGAGTCTTATAAAAGAGGTGGGATTTTTGCTGGGTTTTGGTAGACAAGTTATTTGGGAATAAGGAGAGAAGAGTGATGACAATTTAGAGGGAAATATTTTGAACAGGATGAATAAGGTTTAAAGTTTTACATAAAGTTGGACTGTTGCATGAACTTTTAGGGACAATACACAATTTAGATAATGTGAGACAAGTTGAAGATTCGTATGCAATAGCTTTTTCGTGTACTATAAAATGCATAAAATTAAAATTATTGTGTCAATTTGGATCTATAGCCTTGTTCCTTTGTCTCATTGTTCAAAGACATCTATACAGATGTATCATCATTATTGTAATTCAAATAATTCCTGTGAATCGTATTAAAATAATTTCAAGGGGTAGTCCAGCCAGTGGGTCTCAAATATTTTATACCATTTATATGTTCCACCCAGTTCAAACATCTGTTCAGTTGAGAACAGTTGTTTCATTCATAAGTTCACCCATAATGAATTAGTGAGTCACCCATAAATAAAAACTAGGGACAGGCACTGGCATGGTGGTTCATACCTGTAATCTTAGTACTTTGGGAGGCCAAGGCAGGAGGATTGCTTGAGACCGGAAGTTCAAAACAAGCCTGGGCAACATAGTGAGACCCTGTCCCTATCAAAAAATAAAAGCCAGGCATGGTAGTATGTGCCTGTAGTACCAGCTACTCAGGAAGCTGAAGCAGGAGGTTCACTTGAGCCCAAGAGTTCAAGGTTACAGTGAGCCATGATCATGTCACTGCACTCCAGCTCCTGAAAGACAGAGCAAGATCTTATCTCAAAAAAACACACAACTGTAGATAATGAAGAGAACATACTTGTCATCTACTTAAGCCTAAAACATCTTAGTTTTGTCTTATTTCATCTGATTATTGTATCTACATTTAGCCAAAATTCAGATTGGCTTAATAAAGCAGATGTATTAGAATACGTCTTACAGATCTTGTCCAAAGCAATTTTTAAGTACATTATTTTCTAGTAAATTTAAATGATGACAAAAATAAAAACTATTAACTTTTTAATCTTCTATGGTTTATTTATAATAGTGCCTTAATTTGTAGTAACATTTAGACACTTTGTCATGTATCGTCTTTATTTTCTAGTCTTTTAAATTAAAATTTTATGCAGCATATCTGTACCTCTCAACTTCATATCAATTTTATATGATAAAAAAATTGAATACTATAGCTTGTGAATTATAGATACTGTCCTTGAAATTACCTTCACCACAAACTTTAAATTTTTCATAGTATGCTTTAAATTGCTAAATTCTCTGACCAATTCCTGAATAATTTTCATAATTCACCCTTAATTAAGCCTTTTAAAAAATTAACTATAACCACTAACCATATATGTGCTATAGACTATCAATGTGAACGCTATAATCTTTTAAAGTTTCTATTAATATATTTCAACTAAAGTTATGTATTTTAGGTAGATCAGTTTTCACAGCACATATAGCAAAAGTAAGACACATGTTAGGATTTTTAAGTTATAGCTAAAATTTTGCTTATTTTTAAGTTTAGTAATTTATAAAGGATGTTATTTCCAACTAGAATTATTTTTAATCTGCTTATTTTTTAAATATTTTCTTTTACAGCTTGATGTGTGAAAAAAGAATTTTTGAAACTGTGAATAGTGTAAGGCATCCCTTTCTGGTGAACCTTTTTGCATGTTTCCAAACCAAAGAGCATGTTTGCTTTGTAATGGAATATGCTGCCGGTGGGGACCTAATGATGCACATTCATACTGATGTCTTTTCAGAACCAAGAGCTGTGTGAGTATGCTTTAGACATTTATCTGAGTTTTTCCATGACTGATTTAATGTGGGAAGGAAAAGAGATTCTTTGAATTTTAGATGTTTTTCCTAACAGAAAATAGATCTCTGCAAGAAATATTAGAACTCCTTACTTACTTTTTTGCCATATACTTTTTGTATGTATTCTGTTGTCTGTGTTGAAAATGTCATGGATTATCCTAAACCACAATTAATTCTTTAGATAAACAATGTAGATTCATTTTAGTAAAATTTCTTTTTGTGCTACTAGATTTTCTCACTAGAGAATGCCATTCAGAATTACAGCTTTGAAGACAGATTATACTCAAAATGCACTATTAAGTTTTTGAAAAGAAAGTACAGAAGAGTCTGTATCATATATTTATATAAAATGTTTGTATTTGCCTTTCTAAAGAGTAATTTAAAAGAATATCAAGTATTTGCATCCTTGTGCTTAAAATATCTCTGAACAAATGTAAAAGAAACTGGTTATGTGTGTTGCCTCCAGACAAAGGGATAAAGAGCAGACTTTTCACTGTAAACTTTTTGTAGTTTTTGAAGTCAAGGTTTGGCTTATTCAAATACATAAGAATAATAGTAAACACTTGAAATTATATATGCATATATGTATATTTTCCCTGTTAGTATCTTAATTTTATAGCTGTTAAATGGTGGAGCTAATATTTGAACCTAGGAAAGTGCTATTAATACCTACACCCTGCATGCTGGTGTTTACCAAATTTGTGTTTCCAGCCCCGTCCTCTTACCTAAACTTCCAACTCTAATAATATTCAGTGGTCAGCTAGTTTTCCATTTGCGTGGCTAAGTATCTTACTTAACAACTTAAACTGAACTGATTTTTTCCATTTTTCTATCTACCTCATCTACTACACTCCAAGCCTGCTACTCTTAATCTTCCCTATTTTATTAACCAGATTCAAGCCAGAACACAAGAAGTCATTCTTGATGCTCTTTTTCCCTTAACTTCGGCACTCAAACTATTAGCAAGTCCAGTCAACTCCACCTGTAGAATATATCCCAAATCATAGGACACATAAATCTAGTACTAAATCCCTATTATATTTACTCTTTAGTTTTCATTCCACATCTATAATCTGATGAAATAGCAACTGACATCCGTGTTGTACTTTCACTTTGATTTCTCCATTTGATTCTTGTCATAACCATTAGAGGTATTTAAAGCAGATAATTGTAATACTGTCATAACCTTGAAGTTTCAGATGAGGGAAATAGGAGTTAATTTGAATGGTACTGAAGCATTTTAAAAGGAGACAAAAGCCAGAAAGTAGTAGAAGGCTACGAATAATTCATTCCCTCAATAAGGCAGAGTATTACGATTAAGCCTAGCCCATGCTGCCATAGGAATTTCCTTTTATTTTTTATGATTGTTTTTGTTCTTAAAATAATATATATAAATGTAGTTTGCCTTAAGAAGCTGTTATTTTTGCTGAGAATATAAATTATATACAAATAAAACCATAAAGTTCAGTGAAAATGCAAGAATACAATGCTACATTACAGAACTCCAAATCTGAAGTACCTCCCTTTATCGTTCAGTTCTCAGATCAAATGTCATTTCTTTAAAGGTAATTTTCTGAGTACCCTAGCTAAAATATCACATCACTAACCAATTCAATTCACTCTATTTTCTGTATTATCTTTTTCATATCATTTTATTTCTACGTGAAATCTGATTTATTTTTAAAATTTTTATTGTCTGTCTTATTTCACTTAAAAGAGAGGAGCAAGGACCATATCTGTCCTGTTTATTAGTGAAATGCCTAAAAGAACACCTGGAACATATTAGGCAATCAGTGAATTTTTATTGATTGAAACCGTAGAATCAAAATAGCTTGATTTCTAGCTTTGTTGTTTTGTAGTCTAACTTTAGACAAATTACGTTTTCTGAGCTTCATTATCTGCTTCTATAAAATATTTATCTTAAGGCTTGATTGAAGATTAAGTAAGCTAATAAATGAAGATAACTGACACAATACCTGACAAACAGGAGCATTCAATAAAATACGTATTTTACATAGTATACCTAATTAATCAAGGCAGTCTGTTTACAAAGAAAGAAATCAATGGGAAGCCATGGCTCACGCCTGTAATCCCAGCACTTTGGGAGGCAGAGGCAGGCAGATCACTTAGCAGATCACTTAAGCTCAGGAGCTCTAGACCAGCCTGGCCAACGTGGTGAAACCCTGTCTATACTAAAAATACAAAAATTGGCCGGGCGCGGTGGCTCAAGCCTGTAATCCTAGCACTTTGGGAGGTCGAGACGGGCGGATCACGAGGTCAGGAGATCGAGACCAGCCTGGCTAACAGGGTGAAACCCCGTCTCTACTAAAAAATACAAAAAAACTAGCCGGGCGAGGTGGCGGGCGCCTGTAGTCCCAGCTACTCGGGAGGCTGAGGCAGGAGAATGGCGTAAATCCGGGAGGCGGAGCTTGCAGTGAGCTGAGATCCGGCCACTGCACTCCAGCCTGGGCCACAGAGCCAGACTCCCTCTCCAAAAAAAAAAAAAAAAAATACAAAAATTAGCTAGGCATGGTGGCAGGCGCCTATAATCCCAGCTATTTGGGAAACTGAGGCAGAAGACTCACTTGAACCCCAGAGGCAGAGGTTGCAGTGAGCCAAGGTCACATCACTGCACTCCATCCTGGGTGACAGAGTGAGACCCCCGAAATTAAAAAAGAGAGAGCAATCAATGTAGTTTTATAATTGTTACAGTATTGTTTTGCCACTAAAATAAGTTTGCTAAGAAAATTATGTTTAACGATCTTAAGCAATTTTTTTTTTTTTTTTTTGAGGCAGTCTTGCTCTGTCGCCCAGGCTGGAGTGCAATGGCATGATCTTGGCTCACTGCAACCTCTGCCACCCATGGTCAAGAGATTATCCTGCCTCAGCCTCCCAAATAGCTGGGACTACAGGCGTGTGCCACCACGCCCAGCTAATTTTTGTATTTTTAGTAGAGACAGGGTTTCACTGTGTCGGCCAGGCCAGTCTTACTCCTGACCTCAGGTGATCTGCCTCCTTCTGCCTCCCTCAGCCTCCCAAAGTGCTGGGATTACAGGCGTGAGCCACCATGTCTGGCCATCTTAAGCAATTTTAAGATTACATTTATTTTAACAAACTTCAGTAGATCCTTTAAACTTCTGGTAAGTTATATAATTTTTAATGTATAATCAAGTAAGTATTTCTAAGTAGTTGCATTTTATTTTTGTTTTTGTTTTTTATTTCTGTGTTGGGGAGTCTAAGCCCTGATGAAACTGCCTGGCGGACCCTGACCACCACACCCCTCCCCCACCCAAGCCCCACGTTTAAAAATTATAGACCCGTGCTCTCTTCAGCAGCGCATATACTAAAATTGGAACGATATAGAGAAGATTAGCATGGCCCCTGCGTAAGGATGACACGCAAATTCATGAGGCATTCCATATTTTTCTAAAATTGAGGCAGTAATTAATAGCCTACCAACAAAAAAAGCCCAGGACCAGATGGATTCACAGCCAGATTCTACCACAGGTACAAAGAGGAACTGGTACCATTCCTTCTGAAACTATTCCAAACAATAGAAAAAGAGGGAATCATCCCGAACTCATTTTATGAGGCCAGCATCATCCTGTTACCAAAACCTGGCAGAGACACAACAACAACAACAAAATTTCAGACCAATATCCCTGATGAACATCGATGCGAAAATCCTCAGTAAAATACTGGCAAACCAAATCCAGCAGCACATCAAAAAGCTTACCCACCACGATCAAGTCAGCTTCCTCCGTGGGATGCAAGGCTGGTTCAGCACATGCAAATCAATAAACGTAATCCATCACATAAACAGAACCAATGACAAAAACCACATGATTATCTCAATAGATGTAAAAAAAGGCCTTCGATAGGCAGGGGGTGGCAGTGAGCAGAGATCTCGCCACTGCACTCCAGCATGGCGATAGAACAGGACTCTGTCTCCCAAAAAAAAAAAAAAAAAGGCTGGGTGCAGCGGCTCACACCTATAATTCCAGCACTTTAGGAGGCCAAGGCGGGCAGATCACCAGGTTGGGATATCAAGACCAGCCTGACCAACATGGCGAAATACCGTCTCTACTAAAAACACAAAAAAATTAGCTGGGTGTGGTGACGCATGCCTGCAGTGTCAGCTGCTTGGGAGGCAGGAGAATCACTTGAACCATGGAGGCGGAGGTTGCAATGAGCCAAGATCCGCCACTGCACTCCATCCTGGGCAACAAAGCGAGACTCCATCTCAAAAAAAAAAAAAAGAAAAGGCCTTAGATAAAATTCAGCAACCCTTCATGTTAAAAACTCAATAAACTAGGTGTTGATGGGATGTATCTCAAAATAATAAGAGCTATTTATGACCGACCCACAGCCAGTATCATACTGAATAGGTGAAAGCTGGAAGCATTCCCTTTGAAAACTGGCACAAGACAAGGATGCCCTCTCTCACCACTCCTATTCAACATAGTATTGGAAGTTCTGGCCATAGTAGTCAGGCAAGAGAAAGAAAGAAAGTTTATTAAAATAGGAAGAAAGGAAGTCACATTGTCTCTGTTTGGAGATGACATGATTGTATATTTAGAAAACCCCATTGTCTCAGCCCAAAATCTCCTTAAGCTGATAAGCAACTTCAGCAAAGTCTCAGGATACAAAATCAATGTGCAAAAATCACAAGCATCCCTAAACACCAATAATAGACAGCTGAATCATGAATAAACTCCCATTCACAGTTGCTACAAAGAGAATAAAATACCTAGGAATACAACTTACAAGGGATGTGAAGGACCTCTTCAAGGAGAACTACAAACCACTGCCCCAGGAAATAAGAGAGGACACAAACAAATGGAAAAACATTCCATGCTCATGGATAGGAAAAATCAATATCATGAAAATGGCCATACTGTCCAAAGTAATTTATAGATTCAATCCCCATTAACCTGCCATTGACTTTCTTCCCAGAATTAGAAAAAACTACTTTAGGCTGGGTGTGGTGGCTCACGCCTATAATCCCAGTACTTCGGGAAGTTGAGGCGGATGGATCACTTGAGATCAGGAGTTTGAGAGTAGCCTGACCAACATGGTGAAACTCCATCTCTACTAAAAATACACAAATTAGGGGTGGTGGTACACGCCTGTAATCCCAGCTACTCGGGAGTCTGAGTCAGGAGAATTGCTTGAACCCGGGAGGTGGAGGTTGCAGTGAGCAAAGATCGCGCCACTGCACTCCAACCTGGGCGACAGAGTGAGACTCCATCTCAAAAAAAAAGAAAAAAAAAAAACTACTTTAAATTTCATATGGAACCAAAAAAGAGCCTGTATAGCCAAGACAATGCTAAGCAAAAAGAGCAAAGTTGGAGGCATCACGCTACCTGACTTCAAACTGTACTACAAGACTGCAGTAACCAAAATACCATGGTACTGGTACCAAAACAGATATATAGACCAATGGAACAAAACAGAGGCCTCAGAAATAACACCACACATCTACAACCATCTCATCTTTGAGAAACCTAACAAAAACAAGTAACAGAAAAAGGATTCCCTATTTAATAAATGGTGTTGGAAAAACTAGCCATATGTGGCCATATGTAGCCATATGTGGGGAATTGAAACTGGAACCCTTCCTTACACCTTATACAAAAGTTAACCGAAGATGGATTAAAGACTTAAACATAAGACTCAAAACCATAAAAACCCTAGAAGAAAACTTAGGCAGCACCATTCAGGACATAGGCACGGGCAAAGACTTCATGACTAAAACACCAAAAGCATTGGCAACAGCCAAAATTGACAAATGTGATCTGATTAAACTAAAGAGCTTCTGCACAGCAAAAGAAACTGTCATCAGAGTGAACAGGCAACCTACAGAATGGGAGAAAAATTTTGCAATCTATCCATCTGACAAAGGGCTAATATCCAGAATCTGCAAGGAACTTAAACAAATTTACAAGAGAAAAAACAACCCCATCAAAAAGTAGGCGAAAGATATGAACAGACACTTCTTAAGACATTTATTCAAAAAACATGAAAAAAAGCTCATCATCACTGGTCATTAGAGAAATGCAAATCAAAACCACAATGAGATGCCATCTCACACCAGTTAGAATGGCGATCATTAAAAAGTCAGGAAACGACAGATGCTGAAGAGGATGTGGAGAAATAGGAACACTTTTACACTGTTGGTGGGAGTGTAAATTAGTTCAACCATTGTGGAACACAGTGTGGTGATTCCTCAAGAGTCTAGAACTAGAAATACCATTTGACCCAGCCATCCCATTACTGGGTATATACCCAAAGGATTATAAATCATTCTGTAAAGACACATGCACACGTATGTTTATGGGAACACTGTTCACAATAGCAAGGACTTGGAACCAACCCAAAGGCCCATCAATGATAGACTGCATAAAGAAAATGTGGCACATATATACCATGAAATACTATACAGCGATAAAAAACGGTGAGTTCATATCCTTTTCAGGACATGGATGAAGCTGGAAACCATCATTCTCAGCAAACACAGAAAACCAAACACCACATGTTCTCACTCATAAATGGGAGTTGAAGAATGAGAACACATGGACACAGGGAGGGGAACATCACACACGAGGGCCTATCAGAGTTTGGGGGATAGGGGAGGGATAGCATTAGGAGAAATTCCTAATGCAGATGACGGGTTGATGGGTGCAGCAAACCACCATGGCACATGTATACCTATGTAACAAACCTGCACGTTCTGCACATGTATCCCAGAACTTAAAGTATAATTTAAAAGTAAATAGGCCAGGCGCGGTGGCTCACACCTGTAATCCCAGCACTTTGGGAGGCCGAGGCGGGCGGATCACGGGGTCAGGAGATCCAGACCATCCTGGCTAACAAGGTGAAACCCCGTCTCTACTAAAAATACAAAAAATTAGGCGGGCCTGGTGGTACGTGCCTGTAGTCCCAGCTACTCGGAGGCTGAGGCAGGAGAATGGCGTGAACCGGAGAGGCGGAGCTTACAGTGAGCCGAGATTGCGCCACTGCACTCCAGCCTGGGCGACAAAGCGAGACTCCGTCTCAAAAAAAAAAAAAAAAAAAAAAAAGTAAACAGATCTTTTCAGAAACAAAAAAAACATACATACATACATATATAAATATATATATATATAGAAAAAAATAAAAATGCCGGGCACAGTGGCTCACGCCTGTAATCACAGCACTTTGGGAGGCGGAGGCGGGCGGATCACCTGAGGTCAGAAGTTTGAGACCAGCCTGACCACGTGGAGAAGCCCTGTCTCTACTGAAAATACAAAATTAACCGGGCGTGGTGGCACATGCCTATATTCTCAGGTACTCGGGAGGCTGAGGCAAGAGAGTCGCTTGAACTCGGGAGGCGGAGATTGCGGTGAACTGAGATCGCACCATTGCACTCCAGCCTGGGCAACAAGAGCAAAACTCCATCTCAAGAAACAAAATAAATAAATAAAAATTATTGACCCATTTTTAATAAAAATAGGCAAATATAAAACATAGTTATATTATCTACATGTGAATGTAAATATATTCTGAAAGTTTGGAATAATGTTAAAGTGACAAGAATTATCCGTATGAACTGCAGTGGAATGAGGTGAGATGGAGATAGATGGATGAAATAGTGTACTTTGGAGAGAAGCGTATTACATGTTTTATAGAGAAAATACTCATGTTATTACTTTTATCATTAAAAACTAATTATCCTAAGTGTTTATAGGCTATTCTACACTGAAGACATTTGCATTTTTAAATCTATTCATTTATTTCCTCCTTGTTCAATAAGCCTATCGTGTATATCAAGCATTATGCTATGAACTTAGGATAAAAACTGAAAAAGACAAACATGGTCCTGTGCCTCAAGAATTATTCTCTCTCGGCACAGGTTTTCTGAGATCCAAACCCATATACCCAGCTTTTATATATCATCACCTGCCCCACAGACAAAGTCAACCTGTCAAATGCCAAACCTAGTTTTGTCACAAAACCTTGGCTACCTCTGTTTCTTTTATCCATTCATTCTACTAAGATGGAAACCTTGAAAGTTACCTGTAGCTCTTCCCACTTCCTTATCCTGTAATGGGATAGCACCTTCTGTCATGCTAATTTTTAGTTCTTGTGAATCTGTATCTCTGTTGCCACTACAGTAGATGTTCTCATGATCTTTTCATCTAAACTATGGTAAAAGCCTTATCTGTTCTTTTTTCCTCTGGATCTCTACCTACTTCTCCATCCTTCACATTGCTGCTACCAGAAAACAAATGCCATCATTCTCCTCTGATTAAAATGGTTTGATTCTCTGTCACTAAGAGAAAAAATTTCAGTATCCATAATATGACATTCAGGGTCCTTCACCCAGGTTATCTTTCCAGCCTAATCTCCTACTTCTTCCCCAGATACACCCATCCTTTACTTCAGCCACACCAGACTTACTTGTTATCAAACGTGTTAACGCCTTTTGCACCTCTATTTCTTTTTTCTCTCAGGTAAGTATTTTTCCCCCACAAAACTTCTGCCTGTCACACTGTCCTTTGTCCTTATGGTATATTGTAATTCCTTCTGCAAAACCAGATCAAATGTCCCCTCTGAGGTTCTCAGTGACTACACTAGGCAAAGTTAATGGCTTTAATTGTCAAAACTGTACTTTTCTCATTTTTAAATTTTACCCCTAATATCTAGCACAATGTGTGATACATAGTGGGGACTAAAAAAAAAATTTGTGAAATAAATTAATGATAGGTCTGCTTTGAAGTATAAACATACAAGCTGGGATTCAAGAGCAATAAAATTTATTAAACTTCTATTGATTTAATTCTTCAAACAGATTTTATGCTGCTTGTGTAGTTCTTGGGTTGCAGTATTTACATGAACACAAAATTGTTTATAGGTAAGTTAATTTTTAATTTTTTCTAATGGCTTGCTTTGGTGTGATTTAGAATTAAAGATAGTGTTTTGTGTTTCTTAAACATTTTATGTTTAACCAGCTTCTTAGTTTTCTCCTTCATCTGATAAGTCAAACCCCAATTTTGAAAGACATGTGGTTAGCACTATGATTATATGATGAACTTTTTGTTTCCTAATCCATAGCACATTTTCTAATTAAAATAGTCAAATTATGGCTTGGTCTATGATAGTGCATTTCTCAACAATATTCATCCTAGTGAATATTTAGCATTCAAACAACTCATTGCAAAAAACCTCCATAGACCAATACTGCTAAAAACGTGTCCGTGATGAGACAAGTAGCTTGTGTTAGAGTGTAAAACATCACACTGCTTCCCTCGTTACGAAGTCTTATTGTCAACTGAACTAAATAGTGTATTGGTGATGTAGCTGATCTCTGTAATTTGTGGCCCAGCAGCTAGTCTGTGAACCACACTTTGACTAGCACTCACTGCCCAAGACCAAGCAGATATGAGAAGACTAGTCAGAATTAGAAGTCTATAAACATTGGATTATTTAAGTTTTTTTTTCTTTTCTTTTCTTTTTTTTTTTTTTTTTTTTTGAGACAGAGTTTTACTTTTGTCGCCCAGGCTGGAGAGCAATGCACGATCTCGGCTCATGGCAACCTCTGCCTCCCGGGTTCAAGCGATTCTCCTTCCTCAGCCTCCTGAGTACCTGGAATTACAGGTGCCCACCACCATGCCCAGCTAACTTTTATATTTTTAGTATAGACAGAGTTTCACCATGTTGGCCAGGCTGGTCTTGAAACTCCTGACCTCAGGTGACTACCCGCCTCGGCCTCCCAAAGTGCTAAGATTACAGTTGTGAGCCGCCACACCCAGTCAGGTAAGGTTCTAATGATGTTTTCATGATAAAGTTCTGTTTTACCTAACGGATAAAATATTTCCTGGGCTCAGTGGCTCAAACGTGTAACCCCAGTATTTGGGGAGGCCAAGGTGAGAGGATTGCTTCAGTCTAGGAGTTTGAGACCAGCCTGGGCAACATAGTGGTATTCTGTCTCTACAAAAAAATCTAAAAATCAGCCAGGAGTGATGATATCTGCCTGTATCTGGGCTACTCAGGAGGCTGAGGTGGGGGAATTGCTTGAGCCTGGGAGGTCAAGGCTGCAGTGAGCCATGATTATGCCACTGTACCCCACTTAGACAACAGAGCGAGTACCTTGTATCACAAAAACAAAAAATAAATTGAACAAAATGGATAAAATGTTGTCAATTTGCCTAATTTGTAATCAACTAGTATGGATGGATAGCTTTCTCTCATTCTTTCAGAAGATGAAACCTGCCCTCTGATGCCTTATTAATACTGTTAACTTTACAGTTCTTTCTTATGGATGGCATATAAGCAAACTTTAAAACTAGATTAAGTTGCCCAGGCGCAGTGGCTCACGCCTGTAATCCCAGCACTTTTGAAGGCCGAGGCAGGTGGATCACCTGAGGTCAGGAGTTCGAGACCAGCCTGGCCAACATGGTGAAAACCCATCTGTACTACAAATTAAAAAAAAAAAAAAATTAGCTAGACTTGGTGGTGGGCACCTGTAGTCCCAGCTGCTTGGGAGTCTGAGGCACAAGAATTGCTTGAACCTGGAAAGTAGAGGTTGCAGTGAGCCGAGATCATGCCAGTGCACACCAGCCTGGGTGACAGAGCGAGACTCTGTCTTTAAAAAAAGAAAAAAAAAAAAAGGGCTGGGTGTGGTGTCTCATGCCTGTAATCCCAGCACTTGGGGAGGCCAAGGCCAGCGGATCACAAGGTCAGGAGTTCAAGACTAGCCTGGCCAACATAGTGAAACCCCCTCTCTAATAAAAATACAAAAATTAGCCAGGTGTGGTGGCACACGCCTGTAGTCCCAGCTACTTGGGAGGCTGAGGTAGGAGAATCGCTTGTACCTGGGAGGCAGAGGTTGCAGTGAGCCAAGACCATGCCATTGCACTCCAGCCTGGGTGACAAAGTGAGACTCCGTCTCAAAAGAAAAAAAAAAAAGTGGATTAAATTAGATTATCACAAATAAATTAAATACATTCTTCCTTTTTTATGTAACAGGAGAATAATTTCTCATAAGCTACCTTATATAGAGCAATAAGCTTACTAAAAGGAAGAAAACAATGTGATATAGTATTTAAATCTCAAATCATAACTTGGAAATCCCATTTTTAATAAAGAGAAAGTACAGTTCCAGTTGAAATTATTTTTTTAACTATATAACCTACTGATTTTTTTTTTCATGCTGTATCTTTTTATCCTGAACAGAGATTTGAAATTGGATAACTTATTGCTAGATACAGAGGGCTTTGTGAAAATTGCTGATTTTGGTCTTTGCAAAGAAGGTAATCGAATGTTTTTAAGTTTCTTTTCTGATAAATTACTGTTTGTGCATCAGTAGTTTTCAAGTTTGTCTATGGAAAACAAACTGTACTTTTAACTTTATTCTTCATTAAGACATTGTAGATATAATGAAGACATTGCTTATATAACCTAATTATCACATTAAGAATTTGTTCTGTGAATACGAATAAGGTTAAATGTATAGAAATAATAGTAAGCTTCTCTGCGTGATTAATAATTTTGTCACTACTTTAAGGAAGTATTGCTTAAGCACCAAAATCATTTATTCCAGTGAGACTGTACACAGTGAATTTCATAGGCCTGATAATTTACTTCCAGCTTCTTAAAACTGGAAACATTTAAAAATAGAAAATAAATAGAGATAGGTATCTCAAGTATGTTTTTTGTATATTCAAAAGTAAATAAGTAAATTGGGGAAATTTGAATCAGGTAACATAAGAAAGGATAAAGATCATGGGCTTAGTAACCAAACAGTTCTAGGTTTGAATCATGGCTTTGCTACTATTTGCTGTTTGTCTTTGGAAAACTTAGTTTTAATCTCTTTGAGTCTTACTTCTCCAACCATAAAAAAATGGACATAGTTCTTTCTGTTTACTAGTACTAACATTGCCTATCTCCCTCTGCACTGCTGGCTTCTATTTGCTGTTTAGCTTTGTTTCCATAGTACATTAACACAGGGAATGGTACATCTTAAGTATTCAGTGAGTGTTTGATTAATAAGTAGCTGGACGAATAAATGAATGAACTCTGTAGATATATGCCCATCACATACCCACTGACATAATTGCTGAATCAAGTCAGTTTTTTTCTTTAACTGGGCTTCTTTTTATTGGACACTGTTGATCTAAATGCTTTTGTTTCTCAGCATCTCCCCTTAGCCGGCTGCTCTTCACTGCAGTTTTTTGACTAGCAGCTATATCCTAATGACTCTCAAATCTATTATTTCCTTTCATATGGATTCCAAAGATATATATTCAACTATCTACTAGACAGCTCTGCCTGAACAGTGAAGAGACACCTCAAACACTACCCAAACAAAAATGACTTATTTTCCTCAGGTAGTCTGGTTGTTGGTACCACAATCCCCTCAGTCTTCAATCTGAAAGCAAGGAATTATCTTGCGTTCTATCCTGTTCTCTTACTTTCCATATGTAGTTATTCAAAAAATTCTACTGCCACTTAACCTCCTGAATATTTCTGAAATCTGTCATTTCCAGTCAACTCCTGCTAGCCATCATCTTGTTTTGACAAGACAGGTATAATAATCTCATAATTGTTCCTATTTCTAGTCTTTTTCTATCCCAAATCAGCCTGCCATGTAATTGCTGAATTGTTTAAGGAGTCCATATAAATACAGATCGGACCATGGCACACACCTGCTGAAAACTCTTCAGTGGCTAGGATAAGGTGACATAGAGTGCCCTTCCTGATCTGCCTGCCTGCCTTCCTCTCTGGCCTCATCTCTTGCTGCTCCCTGTTTAGTACTTTTTGCTCCAGCAACTATGAATTGCTTGTAGTCTGTGTCTCTCTAGCACTGTCACCCATCCCAACTCTATTTGCTGACTAACATCTGCACATCCTTCTCATTCAACTCAAGTGTAACCTCTGCAGGCAAATTACCAGAGATTCCCTTTTACTACCCCAACTCCCAACTCTGCTTTAGGAGCCCTTCTTCACTATTCTGCATTATCTTGCTCTTCCCTTGTTATTATAAAATTATCAATAAATATCCATTTTCCTCCAGTCTCCTGTAAACCCCTTAAAGAACCGTGTCTAACTCTCATTTTTGTGTTCCCGCTACTTGGCACAGGTGCCTAGAACATAAAAGGTACAGAAAATATGTGTGTTGAATAACCAGACTTATTAATGCATTATCATAAAAACATATTTAGTAGATTATAATAATATAGCTAACAACTTTTGAGTGCTTCGTATGCCAAGAATTTTGCAAAATGCTTCATCATATGCATATCTCCTGTAATTCATAACAATCATATGAAGGTAGATAGTTTTTTTGAAGGAAATATTTAATTTTTTATTTTATTTTTATTTGTATAAATTTATGGGGTACAAGTGCAATTTTGTTACATGCATAAATTGCGTAGTGGTGAAATCAGGGCTTTTAGGATATTCGTCACCCAAATAACATACACTGTACCCATTAAGTAATTTCTCATCATCCACCCCGCTCCCACCTCCTTACCCTTCTGAGTCTTCCTTGTCTTTATCATTCCACACTGGTAGATGGTATTATTAACCCTCATATACAGATGAAGAAACCTAGGCTTTGATGTTAGACAACTTTCCCAACCTCTCACAGTTAACAAATGACAGAACTGGAACTTAAACCAGGTATTTATTAATCTAGAGCCTGATATTAACCACTTCCATGGAGCTTTACCAGTCTGTAAGAAACATAAGTTCTATTTCTTTGTTAATTAACTTTTTCCTAGTTTTGGCCAAGTTACTAAAAGGCTGGTGCAGAACTCATATAGATATTAATACTATATCACTGTTTTTTAAAATAATATTTTATTGAAGAAAATAAAAATCATTATGATAGTGTTAAAGAAATTTTGCCAAAAAAAATTTCCCCACTCCAGTGTGCTAATGTATCTAATTGTGCCCTTCAAGTCTTGGTTCATAGACATACAAATTCATTTCTATTTTGTAATCTCTATATATGCATACCTAATTATTCTTAATTTAGAATTTAGAACTTTTCTTTAAAATTCTTAATGCTTGTAATCCCAGCACTTTGGGAGGCCAAGGCAGGCGGATCACGAGGTCAGGAGATCGAGACCATCCTGGCTAATACGGTGAAACCCCATCTCAACTGAAAATATAAAAAATTAGCTGGGTGTGGTAGCAGGCACCTGTAGTCCCAGCTACTCGGGAGGCTGAGGCAGGAGAATGGCGTGAACCCGGGAGGCAGAGCTTGCAGTGAGCTGAGATCGCGTCACTGTACTCTAGCCTGGGCAACAGAGTGAGGCTCCGTCTCAAAGAAAAAAAGATGACACTTATGACAAGTTTTTAACACTTTGGAATACATGGAGACAGTATCTTCAGTATGTAGACTATTTGATTAACGTATTAATAAATTATGAGGAACATGTATTTAAAAACTAGTTAGCTAAAATGTTAATACAGACTGAGTATCCCTTATCCAAAATGCTTAGAATGAGAAGTGTTTTGAATTTCAGATTTATTTGGATTTTGGAATATTTGCATATATACATAGTGACATATCTTGAGGCTAAGACCCAAGTCTAAACACAAAATTTATGTATGTTTCATATATACCTTATATATAGCCTGAAAGTAAATTTATATTTATATAATAATATAAATGTTTATATTATTTTTAATAATTTTGTGCATGAAACTAATCTTGTGTTAAGTACTTGTGGAATTCTCTATGGCATCATGTTGGTGCCCAAAAAGTTTCAGATTTTGAAGCATTTTAGATTTTGGATTTTTGGATTAGGGTTGTTCAACCTGTACTCACCCTCCCTTCCCTTTCCTTCCTTCCTTCTCTTCTTTTCTTTTCTTTTCTTTTTTCTTTCCCTCCCTCCCTCCCTCCCTTCCTTCCTTTCTCCATATATATATAGAGATATATATTTTTTGTTTTTTGAGACAGAGTTTTGCTCTTGTCACCCAGGCTGGAGTGCAATGGCACAATCTCGGCTCACTGCAAACTCCGCCTCCCAGGTTCAAGCAGTTCTCCTGCCTCAGCCTCCCAAGTAGCTGAGATTACAGGCAGGAGCCACCATGCCCGGCTAATTTTTTTTTTTTTTTTTTTTTGTAGAGACGGGTTTCACCATGTAGGCCAGGCTGGTCTTGAACTCCTGACCCCAGGTGATCCACTCACCTCAGCCTCCCAAAATGCTGTGATTACAAGCATGAGCCACCGCTCACAGCCCTATCTCTCTGTATTATATGACACATTTGGTTAGCTCCTGATTATCCAAGGGTTTGATTTTTGGTATTTTCCAAACTGTTATTTTTTTATAATGTTGTTCTTATAGTAAAGTAAATAAACTTATTTAAGATTGAATTGGAAAGATGATAGAACTTCACAATCAGTTCATTTTGTTGTAATTTCTTAGCTCCCTTGTAATGACAAGAAGAAAAAGTAACTGAAAAGAAACATGGATATCTTATTTCTATTTACCCATTAATTAGATAGTATAGTTGCTATTACAGTTTTTGCTGTACCAGTCCTTATTGTTTTCTTGAAATATCTTAAATATGTCTGAATTTGTTCGCCATGCACAAATGTGCAACTTTAATTTTGCCTCCCAAAGATAGCTTTGCTTTTTTTTATATACTAGATTTATTTTCTTTGCTAACAAATGTTTAAATTTTATCTTTTCCAGGAATGGGATATGGAGATAGAACAAGCACATTTTGTGGCACTCCTGAATTTCTTGCCCCAGAAGTATTAACAGAAACTTCTTATACAAGGGCTGTAGATTGGTGGGGCCTTGGCGTACTTATATATGAAATGCTTGTTGGTGAGGTAAGCAGTGTAAAATAGGTAAGAGAAAAGAGGAAGGATGATTGAAATAATAAAGCATGTCATTTATAAAACCACCTAATACTGTCTTCAGTATGAGCGGAATTTAAGTTTTATAAATATTTATAGTATACTAGTAGTCAGCTATCTTTCTGTAATACCTTCAATAAAGATTTTTATGTGGTTTGCGGAATGCATTATCAGTGCTTTGAAAATAGTTCCTTGTATTTCAGTGTTGTGCTTTGGATATGTTTTCTGATTTTAAGACATAGTCATTTTATAGGGAATGGAATAACAGAAAGACTAATTTAAAAAATGTACTCTGTACCTGTAAAGAAAAGCCCACTATAAATTGGTCAGAAATAAATGTTACCTTTGACTTCCTCCAGACGGAAGTGAGCAACACACACTGCATCCTTGCTTCACCAGGAAACAACTGAAGTTCCTGGGGAAGCAAAGTAGAATTTTATAGGAACAAAATGAATGGAGAGGAGAAAAGCTATGGTGGCTGTGAAGGCCCTGATGCCATGTATGTCAAATTGATATCATCTGATGGCCATGAATTTGTTGTAAAAACAGAACGTGCATTAACATCAGGCATGATAAAAGCCATGTTGAGTGGCCCAGGTCAGTTTGCTGAGAATGAAACCAATGAGGTCAATTTTAGAGAGATACCTTCACATGTGCTATCAAAAATATGCATGTATTTTATGTACAAGGTTCGCTACACTAACAGCTCCACTGAGATTCCTTAATTCCCAGTTGCACCTGAAGTTGCAATAGAACTGCTGTTGGCCGTGAACCTCCTAGATTGTTAAATAAAATATAATTGTAAAAAATGAAAGAAATGTTACTTTCAAAAATGGTAGAGTTGAAAAGATTAGCATTTTTTCTTACTGTTTTCTGTCGATTAACGTAAATTTCTGAGGATAATTGAGTTGTACACAGAAATTATTACCATTAGGAAACAGTGAATTATGTTAAATAAGGCAATAATAGGAGACTAATAATGTATTATGTTATAAACTGTTAGAAATGTTGAATTGGGGTGAAATTGGGAAAGAGTAAATCTTTTAATAAGTAATTAAAGATTACTTGAAGGGACTTAAACTGGAGATGCAAGAAAAATTATTTTAAGGGATTGGTTCATTATTCTGCAGTTTCCCCATGCCAGCAACCTCCCTTGTACACTTACAAGTTTGAAGAAGTTAGTGGCTAAATGAATGAATTATCAAATTGAGTATCAGAAATTTCTAAAGTTTCGTTCTATGCTTGTCATTTATTGGCACTTACCCCAAACAAACAAATGGTTTTAGTTTCTCCGGATGGATAGCCCCTTTTGGTGTGTCAGTTTGAAGTGGATTCTTTGGAAAAGGAGGAGAAGTATGGGTAATTAAAATAAAATTTATCATGTCCTAAGCTAAGCACTGTTCTGTGTGCCTTAAATATTCGTTCATTTAATTTTTCAACAGCCTTTGATAAGCTTCGTACTGATCTTATGCCCATTTTCAGAGGTGTAAATAGAGACACAAAGAGATTAATGATTTGCTTAAGGTCACACAGCTCTCATATGGTGGAGCTGGAAATTTTAACCTTGTCACTCTGGCTCCAGAACATATCTCTAAAGCATTATGCTTTGCTGCTCCAGGATAGGATCTTCAATTCATCCAGCCTTGTTTCTGTTCTTAAGACTAGTGGTCCAGATCTGAATTTTTCACCTCTATTTAGAAAAGCTGTTGTGCAGTGTTTAGGTTGGACAGATTTATTTTAGCTCCAGTCCACAGTGGCTTTTACTGTCTGAGAGTGCCAGAAGTTCTCATAAAATAATCTTCTGTAAGCTCTGGCATACTTGAACTTCTCCCCACCCCCTTCCTTTATTTTAAAAGTAACATTTTGGGGTTTGTTTTTTTTTTTTGGTTTTGTTTAGTGTAATATTCAAGTAAGTATGAAGTTTATGAGATTCAATTATGTGCTTGCTTAAAATTTACTCTCCATATTAGAGATGACATGTGGAAAATATGAGTTTATTACAAAATACTGTAGAATTAATCGCCAGTTGAATCTACTCCATCCCATTATAAAGCCACTGGAGGGTTTGACAGAAAACAAGGAAGCTCCTGTTTCATATTTTTTAAGAGAGCTAATTGATTGAGCTCTTAATTACCTAGAAGATAAAAGACAGTGGATCTGGCTATTTCTTAGTTGTTTCTTGCAATTTCTTTTTAGTATCTCCACAAGAGGGTAGCTAGGAAAAGAACTAAACTTAAAACTCATTAGTCTACTTCATAATTTTATAGCATTAATGAAACGCTAGTGGTCACTCCTTTTTAACTATGATGAACATAAGGTGTGGCTAAAGTTTATGTCAGATTTCTCTATTATTACAAATAATTGTAAACTCGCTGGATATATCATACATGCTCAAATTTGTATACTTCTACTAGTTTTGATTACTGGAAAGACTCCAGGAATAAACAAATATCCCAAGTCCCCTTTTTCCTGTCTCAGATGGGAGTGAAGATAACAGAGAGATTGAATGTAATGCTGGACATGGTTTTAGATACTATCAGTGTTGATATCTGAACAGACTATTGGTTTCTTTTAAATGTGCTTAAAACACATTTGTTAGCTTTCTGTTGTTAGCCCTGTTTGCTTACAGTCTATTTGAGAAAAAAGATACTACAGGTTTTAACAAATGTATAGATACTTCTTTGCTATTCAGACTTGGAGAGTGAGTTTTCAAGTAAAAATTGTTCAAGCAGAAGACAAAAGTGCTCTCTTTGTATTATCCATTGAAATTCCCATTGAGAATCCTAGTAAAATAAAATTTTCTCCTGATTTACTGATTCAGTCCCCAAAAGAAATTAGATTGTCCATGTAGTACATTTGATTTATGTATTTTGAGTGTACTACATTGTCCCATGTAGTATATTTGATTTATGTATTTTGAGTGAGTGAATGAACAAACTAAGGTTTTGGTAACTGAAAGCTTTGAAATTTTCTTAGCTATGAGCAAGATTAGAAGCTCAGCCTTAAGAAGCTGGATTCTGAATTTATTTTCACAGATTCCTTAAAGATCGCTCACTTCCCCTGGATATTGCTTTCTGCTTATTATTCTTTAAAACTTAATTGGAAGCAAGCAGCCAAATCAAATCTAACGAGGCTAAGTAAGCCTATATTTCAATAGCCAGTGAGAAAATAAGGTTAAAGATACTGATTCATTTCAGTGATTTTAAGGAATTAAATGATATTTAGACATTCGTGTCCTGATTTTTAAAATGAGTGAGTGATGTTTAAGCCATCTGAAATTCTGAGGCAGGCAATCACATCTGATAGACACGTTTTCAGCATAGTTGAAAGTTTATCTCTTTGTGAATCAAATTGTCATACTGAATATAATGTAACTACTTTTTTATGTCTCAGGGTCATTATGAAAAATGATTTTAATACTGTGCTTATTGAAATGCTCTAAAACTTTTTGAGTTTAGAGCATTAAAAATGCCTGTCAATGTGTGCTTTTTGGGTTCCTTTCAGTCTAATTTTGTTTGCAGCTGCTTTAGTACGGTCGTTATGCCTACTAATCTCTAATTGTGTTTTACCACCATTAATTTACTATTGACTTTAAAATCCAAAGCACATTTATATCTGATGTATTTCCGCAGATTGCTTTCCTTTATTATAACATTTATTACCATATTAACCTTACCCATTTTCTTCTGTCTTTCCACAAGATTGAGGTTCTTCAGGATTCTATCTGTTACCTAAATATTCCCTACTTTCTGTTAGACACTCTAAAAATTGACTGTCTGGCCAAATAGGTGATTGAGTGAATGAAATAAAATGGACTGGAGTGGAATGAAATGAAATGAAAAGCCATATCATATATGAGGTAGACAAGTTTTTTTAACGGTCTATAAAATTTAAAGATTTCAGAAAGAGTATATGGTATATTCCCTCTGTAATAGATACATATCTATTGTCACTTCTTATAGTTCTTTTGTTGTTGTTGTTGTTTTGGTAGGCATGGGTTTGTTGTTTGTTTTTTTCTTTTTCACTGCCTGGATCTTGGTTGTACTTTAAATAGGTGATAAGATTTTACTGCCTTAAAACTTGCTTTAACTTACTTAAAGGTATTTCTTCTAGTCTCCCTTTCCTGGTGATGATGAAGAGGAAGTTTTTGACAGTATTGTAAATGATGAAGTAAGGTATCCAAGGTTCTTATCTACAGAAGCCATTTCTATAATGAGAAGGGTAAGAATTAAATTAAGGATAAGAATTTTTTAAGACTACTTTAATTGTTTATATTAAAGAAATTTCCCAGTAGAACTTTAGAAGTTGTTTTTCAGTTCATAAATGTTGCATGGCTTAGACAAAAACAGACAAAATATATCTGAGTTTTTAAAAATAATCTTTATCAGTGAATTTTATTCTATTGATTTTATTTTAACTTTTTTATTTTACATTGTGCTAGCTGTTAAGAAGAAATCCTGAGCGGCGCCTTGGGGCTAGCGAGAAAGATGCAGAGGATGTAAAAAAGCACCCATTTTTCCGGGTAAGTGTGACTATTTAAAATTTTTTATTAAACTAGAGCAATTAGATGTAACAAACTAAACTAGTCATTTTGTATTTTATGATCCAGCTAATTGATTGGAGCGCTCTGATGGACAAAAAAGTAAAGCCACCATTTATACCTACCATAAGAGGACGAGAAGATGTTAGTAATTTTGATGATGAATTTACCTCAGAAGCACCTATTCTGACTCCACCTCGAGAACCTAGGATACTTTCGGAAGAGGAGCAGGAAATGTTCAGAGATTTTGACTACATTGCTGATTGGTGTTAAGTTGCTAGACACTGCGAAATCAAGCTGACTGACTCACAAGAAGACCTCTTAAAAATAGCAACCCTTCATTTGCTCTCTGTGCCACCAATAGCTTCTGAGTTTTTTGTTTTTTTTTTTAATTGAAACACGTGAAGATTTGTTGAAAAGTACCATTCTAATACTTCTTGAAAAGTGGCTTCTCATTGTACTTCAGCGTAAATATGAGCACTGGAAACAGTTTCATGGAGTTTGAGTGAACATCGGCTATGAAAATCCATCACAAATACTTTTGGATCAATAGTCTATTTTTAAAAAGAAAGAAAAAAAACCACTTTTTTTTATAGCCCCTAGCTTTGCCATATGCCCACCTTAAGTGGAAGGAAAATTAATCACTTAACTATGTTTTACAAAAAGTAAAAAAGGGCTTGGAATGCTATTACTGTTCACACAAAGTATGATTCTGTTTGAATAATACAAATGCTGTTTTTTTTAAAGACATTACTGTAATATCAAAAAACGTAGCAGTTTGTATACAATTTGGGGCTCGATCTTTTAAAAAAACAGAATGAATTGATGTCTTATTTTATAAATGTTCTATATTTATTAGGAGAAAACTTTATATTGCCTTATTTTTATCAACCATGTAACAGAGGCTTATAGCTTTCCAGCGGAGCTGCTTGCCAAACAATTTTGTTTTTATTAAACAGTGCTGAAACAAACAAGATCAGCATTTACTTAAGATGTTAAGAATGAGGACTTTTAATCAGCTGAACCAAGATATTGTTACCTGTATGCATTCCCAAAGTCTAGATGCTCAGTATGTTCAGTCATATCTTCCAGAATCAGTGAACCGGTTACCCCTTTTTTGATACTCACTCTACATCTGCCAACCTAGTTCACCTTGGTTTTGTGTCTGCTGTAGAAGGGAACTATACCTTGGTTAAACCGTAGAGATTATCATTGTATACATGCTGTGAACATGTATATGTGCAAGTTTTAATGTATTCTATGTTGTAGGCTTATTTAATTTTACCACTTCATCACTTTTGTACAGTGGCCAAGCAGACACCTCAAACTCCAGCATTTACATTAAGTGCATTTGTATATTTTAGGCCACTGGATCCAGATTTTATATTGGCAGTTACTGAGGGCAAAAGCAATATATTGTAACAGAATGTATAAATATTTTTGATAAAACAGTCTATATTTTATAAAAAAAAATTAATTATAACACTAAAGCTGTACCTCAAAAGTCTCAAAAATAATTTGATCAAATATTTTATACAACTCTTCAAAGGATCCGTCTGTGGCTTTTTATACTCTTCTAGGATTGTCTTTTTGCAAACCATGACTTTCCACTTGCCTGTAGTTTTTTGTTTGTTTTGGTTTGGTTTGATTTTATATTTTTTTCTCCTAATCTATGACTTTATTGTTTTTTCTTAGTTTAGTAATAGCATCTTTGATCCTGTGCTTAGCATGTTAGGGTCATTATACCTCAGGAATAGCAAGCTGTTAAGTAACCATACTGAATTAACTATTTAATCACAGTGAGCTCATCTCTTAAAAATTGTTCAGGTGTAAATCTTATGAGAAACATGAAGAAGCACACTGATTTATGGAGAGTTGAGCTAAAAACATTTATAAATATTTGCTGGGATGTTTTAGCATCTTTTCATTGTATTCTGAGAACAATTAAAATTGTCCAGAGATCATTTATATTACCTTCCAAATTGTTAATTACCCAAGATCCTTTGGGAGAAAATCTTAATAGAAAGGGGGAACAATATGTGGTTTAAAGTTATTGTTAAATGCCAGTTAACTTCCTTGGCAAAGGACAGTAGAGGAACTTAACTTAATTGTCTGGCTTTAATTTAAACAGTGTTAATACAACATTAAAATAAAACACTAAATACTTTTGAGGTACAGTCTGCTCACTTTTTTGGTTCTCAAATAGCAAAGAAAGTAATGTCTAAAATAGGCTTTTAGCATTAAAAACTGACATAGCATTTTGTAACTACACAGTGTACAGAATTTTTTTTTAATTGAAGTCAATCACTAAAAAAATTAGAGGGCAGGGTCTATTTACACAATTAAGCTGAAGAAAGCACTAATTTTTTGTAGTTTAAAAAATATATTTTAGTCAGATTTAAAATTTTAAGCTTTATAGAGTGTAAATATATTTTGCTATTACTGTATATGTATGTGACTGCTCAAGCACTTTGTAAAGAAATTAGGATATTTTAGAATGGTACACTATGCATTCAAATGAAATGTGCCTTTCACTATGTCATTCTAAGAAAACAAGTGTTTTGCAGTCATAAATTATCACAAGTGCACAAATTAAAGTCTATATAGATTGAAATTTGTAACTTTGGCTTAAGTATTCTTTCTTTTTAGAAACTTCCTAATGACTAAAATACACTTTAACTTTTCTGTGTTCAAAATCTCAAAGACTAATTAACTTGAGTAAACGTTCTTGCAAGTACTTTTTGTCCTAGAGAAGACTTAAAACCGTGAACATTCAGAGCAAATTGTCCACTTCACTGAGAATAATGGGAAAAGTTTGTATTCTGCTCCTGTAAGGTCAGTAGCATCTTTTATTTGAAACATATTTAAGGACTGCTTACTGTGTATAGATACTGAGAATAGGAAGGTTTTTTTTAAAGCAACAAAATGTTGATGAATGAAGAACAATAGCCTGCTTTAATATTAAGATGCAAGCACCAGTATTGTATATACTTTTCTCTTGTTTGAGGTTAACTTATTTTAATTTAGGACCTGGCTTCTCAGAAAAGCAAATGAATAAAACAGAATACTAGTCATTTTATAGTAATCTTATTTAAAAATTACAAATGGAATATTTTAGAAATATAAAATGATACATGCTCTCCCTGTAACACAAATTGAGGACATAATGGAAATTGCAATCATATATTGACTTGGTAAATCTGCCGTATAGATTAAAGTCTAACAAGATTTTTGCAAGTACTACCAGTATTCCCAAAGCCACTGGAGTAAATATGAAAAATCCAAATAAGCAAATACTAATCCACAGATCATAATTTAAATTTAGAATTCTTACTTACTTTCCAGCCATCTTTTGAGGTCTAGGGTTTTTCTGAGATACTGGCTTTATACATTAGTATGATGGGTAGAGGCTTTAAAGTTATTAAAAATAATAGTATACATACGCATATAAAATTAGTGGAAGACCATCAATAAGATATGTAATTTGAGGTTTTGCCAATCTTATTAAAGGTAAGAATGGTCTGTGGCAACCCTTCACCCCAAAACAAGCAAATAAACTTGAGCAGAGTCCGAACAAGTTAGGGCTTCAGCACCTAAGAGTTAGAGTGGGAGTGCTGAAGCACAAAAGTAGGAATATTGAGAGAACTGGAAGCTGAGTCTACAGAGTATGGCAGAGCAGCAGGAAGTTGGAAAAGGTAGGAGTCACAATGGCAAGGAGCTGGTTTTGAAAATTCAGGCACCCAAGAGAAGTGGGGTTACCAAGGATAGATTTCTCTAACAACACAATTTTGAGGATAACAAACCTTGCAATAGCATCAGGACTTATGTTCTGTGCTTAAATCCTGTAGACGAGTTCAAATTTTAGTTGGATGTCACTCTTTCCCTGACAGTGGAAGGAAATATTCTGTGGATAGAAGCTCCTCCAGGATGGGACCATCAGATTTCCACAGATTAAGATCAAGTAATTCACTGTCAGAAATCCCTAAACACTTGTGAGAGACAGCAGGTTACCTTGAATAAGAACCAACAGAAATTTTAAATTTAGATATCCCTGTTAGAGATTTCATACATTAGAATTATCAGCCAGGCACAATGGCTTATGCCTATAATTCCAACACATTTGGGAGGCGAAGGCAGGAAGATTGCTTGAGGTTAGGAATTTGAGACTAGCCTGGGTAACACAGCGAGACCCCATCTCTACAAAAAAAAAAAAAAAAAAGCACCTAAAAATTAGCCAGGTATGGTGGTGTGCACCTGTAGTCCCAGCTACTTTGGAGACTGAAGTCAGAGGATTGCTTGAGCCCAGGAGGTCAAGGCTACAATGAGCTGTTATGCCACCGCATTGTATTTAGCCTGGGCGACAGAGCAAGTCCCTGTCTTAAAAGAAAAAAGAAGAATTACCAGATATGTTATAAAATAGCTATATATATTTATATACCTAAAACTATCAGTATAAACATGTAAAATGAATATTTTAACATATTAAACATTTTTAAAATCCAAAAATGAAAAATGTAGTTGTTCTAATATGAAATTCACTGGAAAGATTAAACAGCAGATTAGACAGTTGAAGAAAACTGAAGATTGGAAACTGAAAAATCAATCCCAAATGAAGATGGAAAATATAAAAGGGAGATTAAGAGATTCAGAAGATGGAATGGAGACTCAAGAGGAAAGAATGAGAGGCAATATTTAAAGACATAATGGCTGCAAGTTTCTCGGAGATGAAAAATATCCAAGCTGTACAGTATTTTCCAAACGGGGTAAATATAAATGTATACGTAGAACCATTGTGAAATGGCAGATCACCAAAGACAACATCTTGATACTATCCAGAGAAAAGGGACTAAATGTCTATAAAGGAAAGACTAACAGCTGACCTCTCAATTGCAACAATGGAAGTAGTGGAATATGACCTTCAGAGTGTTGGGGGAAAAAAGGTTAACCTAGAATTACATAAAAATAAAATTATTTTCATAAGAATTATGGCATATAATATTTTTTAAAAGGGGAACGCTTGCTGCTCTAATGGACATTCTGAAGAATGTGCTTGAAGAAGAAGAAGAATGATTCCAGAAGGGTGACACAAGATAAAAAAAGGTTTGTGATATGTAAAATGGCAAACACCTAGGTAAATCTAAATAAACCAAAGAGATAAAAGAAGGAATTGTTGGATTTTGAGTTTTTTTGTTTTTTCTGAGCACAAATTCTAGATAGCAGTAGCAGGAAAGTCAGGATAGTGAAGACCAGAGCTACACAGTATTGTGTAGTCTTTTTGTTGTTGGAATGTTAAGGTATTAACTTTAGATTTTAGGTTCACTGTAAAATGCCAAGGCTATTCACTGTATAGTGAGTATAAATTCTAAACCAAAAGACAAGATGGTAGAAATGAATCCAAAGCACCATTAATATAAATGGAGCAGACTTACTAGCTAAAAGCAGGATTTATAAGATTAGATTTTAAAAAGAGAAATCTGGTTGTATAATGTTTACAAAAAGATACATCTGAAATAGAAGTATATGGAGAAGCTGACAGTAAAAATATGAGGAAAAATATGTGATGCAAAATCCACTCAAGCTAAAGCTATGGTAGCTTCACCTAATATCAAAGTAGATTTTAGACACCATGAAAACCTAAATGTCAACAAGAGTAGAGAGAGTTTCTGTTTCATATCCACCTATGCACATAGCCTAAAGGTAACTTTATAAAATATTTTAAATAATTTTCCATATGAAACAAAGTTTGTGTACATTGAACCTTCAGAAGGCAAAGGTGTCATTATCACAGCCACTCATGTAGACAGTCTCTGGTTGTTTAACATCATTGTCATTCCCGACTTTGAATTTATGCGCTTCGATAAGTAATCATTGTTTTATGTTCATTTACACATAAATACTTAACAGTAAAAAATAGAACATACCATTAATACAGTGAAAAAATGTGTTCAGGATAACTAAGCCACACAAGTAGCATCACCAGAATACCTGCATCATCTGTTAACAGCAACAACAAACAATGGCAGGCTTTCAGTTCATTTTTGATGCTGGTTTGTTTTGTTTTTTTTTTCTTGAGACAGGGTCACCCAGGCTGGAGTGCAATGGTGTAATTACAGCTCACGGCAGCCTTGACTTCCAAGGTTCAAACGATCCTCCCATCTCAGCCTCCTGAGTAGCTGAGACTACAGACGTGCCACAACTGGTCTCGAACTCCTGTGCTCAAGTAATCCTCCCCCCTTAACCTCCCAAAGTGCTGAGATTGCAGGTGTGAGCCACTGTGCCCAGCCCTGTGTTTTCATTAAAAGGTTACTGCGGGTGGGGCACAGTGGCTCAAACCTGTAATCCCAGCACTTCGGGAGGCCAAGGCAGGCAGATCACCCGAGGTCGGGAGTTCGAGACCAGCCTGACCAACATGAAGAAACCCCATCTCTACTAAAAATAAAAAAAATTGACCAGGCATCGTGGCACATGCCTTTAATCCCGGCTACTTAGGAGACTGAGGCAGGAGAATCACTTGAACCTGGGAGGCAGAGGTTGCAGTGAGCCAAGATTGTGCCGTTGCACTCCAACCTGGGCAACAAGAGCGAAACCATCTCAAAAAAAAAAAAAGCTTAGTGTGGCCAGGTGCAGTAGCTCACGCCTGTAATCCCAACACTTTGGGAGGCCAAGGTGGGTGGATGGCTTGAGGTCAGGAGTTCAAGACTAGCCTGACCAACATGATGAAACCTCATTTCTACTAAAAATACAAAGATTACCTGGGCACAGTGGTGTATGCATGTAATCCCAGCTACTGGGGAGGATGAGGCAGCAGAATCGCTTGAACCTGGGAGGCAGAGGTTGTAAAGAGCTGAGATCATACCACTGCACTCTAGTCTGGGTGACAAAGCGAGACTTCATCTCAAAAAAAGAAAGGTTACACTGTTTTTTTGTTTTTTGTTTTAATTGAAAAGAAACATCAAAAGCAGTTGAGAGACCAGGAGGCAGGAAGTGAGTTCTGTATGGATGATGAGGCAGTCTGCTGGATGGCTTTTCAAATGGTTTTTCCAGCAACATCTGTCTCATAACAATGGTTGTCTTAGAAGTCTCTCTTTGATTTTATAAATTGATTTTATTTCCCAAGTCATTTTATGAAATCAGTATAATCTAGATAAAACAGACAAAAGTACATTACTAACAAATTTAATTTGTATTGATGCAAAATAATAAAGTATCAGAGCAGGTTCAGTGATGTTTGAAAAAGACATCAAATTAGGTTTATCCCAGGAATGCAAGGATGGCTTAAAATTAGAAAGTCTGTAGTTGCCATACTAACAGATTGAAGGAGAAAAAGTAGGGAAAAGCTAATCTCATATTTGATTTAAAAAAAAAAAAATGGAGGCCGGGCGTGGTGGCTCATGCCTGTAATCCCAGCACTTTGGGAGGCCAAGGCAGGTGGATCACAAGGTCAGGAGATCCGAGACCATCCTGGCTAACATAGTGAAACCCCGTCTACTAAAAATACAAAAAAATTAGCTGGGTGTGGTGGCGGGCGCCTGTAGTCCCAGCTACTCGGAAGGCTGAGGCAGGAGAGTGGCATGAATCCGGGAGGCAGAGCTTGTGCCGTGAGCCAAGATCATGACACTGCACTCCAGCCTGGGTGACAGAGCAAGACTCCATCTCAAAAAAAAAAAAAAAAACTGGGGTGGGAGGTGGATTTCTTTGGCCTGATAAATGTTTTTTATATTTTTTAAAACCAAAAGC